CCACTGGATGGCGGGGTGCCAGGCTGTGTCCGGAGAAGAGGTGCTACAGATGTTCCTCTTAGAACATTGTTTTGACAAATTGCCCACAGGGGTCAGAGAGTGGGTAAGGGACCGTAAACCCTCCACTCTGCACGAAGCAGCTCGCCTGGCGGATGAGTATACCGACGCCCGCAAACTGGACAGTCTCATCAGCAAGGCTCCCGCCAGAGTGGAATACAGGCCAGCAACACCAGCCCCCGCCAACCTATACCAGCCTCCCATGACTCGCCCATCAGCACCTCCTCCATCTGCCCCGTACCAACAGCCACCTAGGTTTAATGCACGGGAGTACACGCAACCCATTCGGTGCTACCTGTGCAAACAACTAGGGCACAAGCGACCCGAGTGCCCGATGAACAGCGCCAACCAGAACCAGTCCTGGCGGAGACCAGCAGGCGGCAACCCCCGACCTCCCCTCCCGGCCGCTCACTGTGTAGAGGAAGAAGAGTGCTGGGGCATCCTGCATGAGGCAGACCCCGTTCAGGCTGCCCACCGGGATAACCGACAGCATCACCGGCAGTGTGTGAAAGTAAACGGGAAGGAGGTCAGTGGTCTACGGGATACCGGGGCAACTATGACATTGCTCCAGAAGCACCTGGTATCCGAAGCCCAACATACAGGGGACACGGTCGCCGTACGAGTAGCTGGAGGTGCCGTGTTCCGTCTGCCCGTTGCCCGGGTACATTTGGATTGGGGAGTGGGCGCTAGACATGTGAATGTGGGGGTCATGAAGGACTTACCAGCGGATGTCCTCCTTGGCAATGACTTGGCGCCCCTTGTTTCCGCCTACGCTCCCATGGGTCCTGCTGAAGTGGACGCTGTCACGACCCGTGCCCAGACCCGTGCCGCCGAGACCGGCCCACCTGCTGTTGAGACCCAGGTAAGACTCTCTACCCCGACTTGTACCTTAGACCAGGCCCCTTTAGGCTGGGATACCCCAGAGATATACGGGAAGGAAACCAGGGAAGACCCGACGCTAGCAAAGTACAGGGCCAGGGCCGATTCTGGGGGAGAAGGAGTAGATGGGGAGCACTACGAGTGGGTGGGGGATAGACTCTACAGGATCCCGAAACCGCCCCAGAAGCCGAATACCCCTCCGCAGAATTGACAGCTAGTGGTGCCCGCAAAATACCGGCAGGAGATTCTGCGGATCGGGCATGATGTGCCATTAGCCGGCCATCTAGGTTCCCGCCGCACAGCTCATAGGATCACGCAAAATTTCTTCTGGCCCAATTTTAACCGAGATGTGCGGGTCTATTGTAGCACGTGTGACACCTGTCAACGGGTAGGTAAGCGGGGGGATCACCCAAAAGCTAGGCTCCAGTCGATGCCTATCATTGGAGAACCCTTTTCCCGCATAGCCGTTGACATTGTGGGTCCACTGGCCAGGGCTAGTCCATCAGGTAAGAAGTATATTCTCACCGTGGTGGACTATGCCACACGTTACCCAGAGGCAGTAGCGCTGTCCAATATAGAGGCAGAGACGGTTGCTGATGCCCTGGTTAAAATCTTCACTAGGGTCGGGTTCCCTCAGGAGATCCTCTCCGATCAGGGAACCCAGTTCACCGCTGTGCTTACCCAGCAGCTGTGGAAGGTGTGCGGTATTAAACCTCTGCTTAGCTCACCTTATCACCCACAGACTAACGGTCTCTGCGAGCGATTTAATGGCACCCTCAAACAGATGTTGAGGACCTTTACTGACACTTGCAGAGACTGGGAGCGATTCCTGCCTCATCTGCTATTTGCATACAGAGAGGTGCCTCCAGGAATCTACTGGGTTCTCCCCCTTTGAGTTACTCTATGGGAGAAGGGTCCGTGGACCCCTAGATCTCATTAGAGGACACTGGGAGGGGGAGACAGAGCAAGAAGGGACCCCCATAGTACCATATGTCCTGGAACTCCGGGACCGCATGGAGAAACTGTCCCTGATGGTAAGGGAGAATCTCCAGGCGGCCCAGGGGAGACAGAAACGGTGGTACGATCGGGGTGCCCGACAGCGGATCTTCCAGGTTGGGCAGAAGGTTCTGGTACTCAAGCCTGTGAAGACGAACAAGATGCAAGCATCTTGGCAGGGCCCGTATAAAGTGTTAGCTCAGGTATGCGATACTACCTACCTTATAGCCAGCTGTTCAGATGAAAGGATTCAGCGATCCTTCCATGTGAACATGCTGAAGGAGTATCAGGAGAGACCAGAGGATGTTGCGGCAGTATGTGCCCCAGCTACTGACGACCCCGAGAACTTACCGTTACCTGACTTGCTAGAGAGGGACCCCCAGACAGACCTTACTAGTCTTGTACAGCTAGGGGACCGACTAAACCCGGCAGAGAAGGTACAGGCAAGACAATTACTGTGGGAGAAGCAGGCCACGTTCTCCCAAGAACCCGGGTACACTACCCTAGCTGTACACAAGGTCGAGACACCCGGACAGAACCCCCTACGGCAACCCCCATACCGTATCCCTGAAGCAGTCCGAGAAGGAATGCGGAAGGAGATACAGGAAATGACCAGGCTGGGGGTTATCGAACATTCGGACAGTCCTTGGGCCTCGCCTGTAGTTCTGGTGCCTAAGAAAGATGGGACCACCCGGTTCTGTGTGGACTACAGGCGGCTCAACGAGCGGACCACCACTGACGCCTACCCTATGCCCCGGGTAGACGAGTTATTAGACCGTATTGCCAGGGGGCGCTATCTGACCACCATAGACCTGTGCAAAGGCTATTGGCAGATCCCCCTGGCCGAGGATGCTATCCCTAAGTCGGCATTCGTCACCCCATTTGGCCTGTACCAGTTTAAGGTTATGCCATTTGGGATGAAGAATGCTCCGGCTACTTTCCAGCGTATGGTGGATAGGCTCCTCGATGGCTTCCAGGACTTTGCATGTGCATACCTGGATGACATTGCGGTCTACAGTGAGTCCTGGGAAGACCATTTAGTACACGTGGGGGTGGTGCTGGACAAGATTCGGGCCGCAGGCCTGACCTTGAAGCCAGACAAATGCCATCTAGGCATGGCAGAAGTACAGTACTTGGGTCACAGAGTAGGCTGTGGGAGCCAGAGACCGGAGCCAGCCAAGGTAGAGGCTGTAGCTAACTGGCCCACACCTATCACCAAGACCCAAGTGCTAGCTTTCCTGGGGACGGCAGGGTATTACCGACGTTTTGTCCCCGACTACAGTACGGTTGCCAAGCCCCTGACTGACCTGACTAAGAAGAATTTGCCTAAACAGGTCCTGTGGTCTCCAGCTTGTGAAGCCGCGTTTCAGGCACTGAAGCAAGCTCTTGTTAATGCTCCTGTCCTGGCTGCCCCAGTCCCTAACAAACGTTTTCTTGTACATACAGATGCTTCCATGTATGGACTGGGGGCTGTGCTAAGCCAGGTCGGGGAAGATGGAGGAGAGCACCCTGTCGCATACTTAAGCAGAAAGTTACTACCCCGGGAAGTAAGTTATGCGGCAGTGGAGAAAGAGTGTTTAGCCCTGGTCTGGGCACTGAAGAAACTGAGCCCTTATCTGTATGGACAAGAATTTTCCCTTATTACGGACCATAACCCCCTCGTGTGGCTTAACCGGGTCTCAGGAGACAATGGCAGACTGCTGAGGTGGAGTTTGGCACTACAGCCATATAACTTCACCATCAGCTACCGACCCGGTAAGCAGAATGGGAATGCAGATGGGTTATCTCGGCAAACAGACGTCCCTACTCCTCCTCAGTCCGGTCATCCCCAAGTTGACCCGCCAAAGGGTCAAGCCGGGTCTGCCGGAGTGTTCCACAAGGGGGGAGCCGTGTGACAGACCCATCTGTCTGGATTATAACTGCGTTGTTCGTCTGTTTTGCCGTTTTCATGAATTTCCCCGTTCGTATGCTTTGTTTAAGGGAATGTCGGTTTTGTCGAACGGAACTACCGAACGGACGGCCACCCAGAAGAGAAGTGTGCTGCTGGTTAACCTATTGATCCCAATTAGAACGTTGCGGTTAACCACAGACACTTCTCAATTAAAAACCGAATGCCGGGTGGTCGTCGTTCGTATGTCGACCACGAGGCGGCGGCCATTTTGTCCATGCGAACGACCAGCGGTGTTCAACGATTATTTCATGGATCGGAAAACGGACACTTTTTCAGCCGAACACCGCTGAAGCCGTCGACCTCCCCTTCTCAATCGACAAAAGCATGCGAACGACAGCCGTTCGGGAGATTCAACCACACGAATGGACTTAACCCAGATAGCCGTCCCATGGAGTCAATCGCATACCGAAGAACTGAAAGAGACTTTGACTCCATGGCGATTGAACTGTGCGAATGGGATCTGAGCGCTATTCTCCAATAATGTGCCCTCAGATCCAGGCTATCTGGGGATATGCAAGACTGATGTAAAATGTTCAGCAGTTATTAAGTTATGGATTTTTGTGTGTTTTTGTAACTTGTATCTAAAATGGCGATTGCCTCTGCTCGGGGAGATAATTAAATTACTTCCCAATTATTCCCCGAGCAGAGGGGAGGGAACTGTACTGCATGCTGGGAATATTGTGGGGATGTATGTCCAGAATGTCCCCATTTCCCTCTGTGATTTCAGTCTCCCATTTGGTCCCCTAGGGGAGTGTCCACCAAGTGGGAGACCTGCATAAATACCGGGCAGGTAGCCCACAGTAAACCAGTTCGTGTTTTACCCTCAAAGCGGAGCTTGGTCTCGTTATTGGGGGGATTTGGATACCAGCGGCGAGAGACTGCTTACTTGGATTATTTGCCGCTTGGGAGATATTGTCGTTCGGTTATTAATTGCCGTTCGTGGATTTGCGGCTTGCGAAGGGAATTAGCCGTACAGGTACCGTTCGGGAGTTTGGAGTGTTCCCTGGCTGGCGGTTCGCCTGGTTTTATTATACCCGCTACCCGACCACATTATTGCGAACAGGGAATACTCGCTAAACGGCGGTTTGTACATTTCGTTCCTGGAGGTACCGTAACAGTCTTATACCCCAGATAGGAATCCCATGGAGCCCATTCGTATGAAACTGACTGTAAAGACTTTGGCTCCATGGCGATTAAACTGCATTCGTGTGGTCTGAGTGCCATTCACCTAATAATGTGCACTCAGACCTGAGCTATCTGGGGATATGTTACATGTCTGTGGTTTATGTAGTAAATGTTACTTTGTGCATTTTAAAGTGTTATGCTGGTTTTGTGTTCCCACGTGTGTAATGGAGTTTTGCCTTTGTCTTGGGAGATAATTGAGTTACTTCCCAATTATCTCCCAGGGCAGAGGGGAGGAAGCCAGGATGCATTGTGGGAATATACTGTGACTGTGTGTCCTATTTGTATACTTGTCTGTCCCTTGTCACAGTCTCCCATTTGGTCCCCTAGGGGAGTGTCCACCAGGTGGGAGACCTGCATAAAAGCTGGGCAGGTAGCCCTCATTAAACAGACCACTGCTTGACCCTCAACACGGAGCCTTGTCTCGTCTTTGGGGGGATTTACTGTATGCTGCTAAGGACTGATTGCCAGGAGTGTAAGCCGCTTGGAAGCTTTTCCTGTTCGCCTGCTAGCAGCTATTCGTATGGTTCCTGTTCGTTTATTTGAAGTGCTACCTTATTCCCTTGTATGCCGTTCGGGAGTTTGGAGCATTCACTTATTGGCGGTTCGTGAGTTTTGGTGATTATTCAGTAGCTGTGCCTGTCTCTGAAAAGGAGATTATCGTCTAAGCGGTTTTTTCCCCTTTTGTGCAAAACGGTCCGTTACAATCATAAACTAGGGCCCTAGGGGGTTGCCGCACTCTGGTGCTGTGTCTCAGTTCTCGCTGGGGGAGAGGATCTTGGGACATCAACTGTGGAACTTTGACTCCTGCCCTCGAAGTAGAGTCTCTAAGGGAAGTTCCAGGCACAAAACAGGGACTTTCTGGATTCAACCTTGGAGAACTTTGTGACCCAGGAGAGGTTCCGGGACTTTGTGAAACCACAGGAGTTAAAGGAGGCAATTGTTGTGTTTCTTCAGCGGGTGATGACCACCACTGATCCTCTGCACTGGGAGTTCCCGGGGTCTCCTCTGCCCCATTTCCAGGACTCTTTGCTGGGGTTTCCTCCAGTTCTTCACTACTCTCTTCCTCTTCATCAGTATACACAACTGGAAGCAGATGGTTTCTATGCCAAGCCTTTATTCGGCCCTCCGGGCCCCGAATGTTGTACACTGGCAGTCCTTCCAGTTTGGACACAACCTCAAACAGGGTATCTTTCCATCTGTCAGCCAGTTTATGTTTTCCAGGCACACCTAGATTCCGGAGAAGAACTTTATCCCCTGCTTGAATCTCCCGATATCTCACCTTAGCATCATATCTTCTTTTGTTCCGTTCTTCCATTTTTGCTGCAGCTTGGGTGGCCAACTCGTAGGCCAGACGAAGGTTTTGTTTGAGGTTCCTCACATATTGAAAGTGTGAAGTTGAATCTGTTCCATCAGGAGACACTCCCAACCGGACATCTATCGGCAATCGAGCTTCTCTTCCGAACATTAAGAAATAGGGTGAGAACCCTGTAGATTCATGCCTTGTACAGTTGTATGCGTGGACCATGGTTTCCACATGTTTACTCCAAGACCGCTTCTCGATTTGCTTGAGAGTCCCTAGCATATCTAGGAGGGTCCTATTGAAACGTTCTGGCTGTGCATCACCCTCCGGATGATAAGGTGTGGTTCTGGACTTCTGCACCTGCAACATGCCTAACAGCTCCTTGATCAACTTACTCTCAAAGTCTCTACCTTGATCAGAGTGTAGCCGATTGGGTAGTCCATAGTGAATAAAATACTTCTGCCAAAGGACTTTGGCTACAGTCACAGCCTTTTGGTCTTTAGTGGGGAAGGCTTGAGCATATCTGGTGAAGTGGTCCGTTACCACCAGCACATTTCCAATTCCCGCTGTATCGTCCTCAATGCAGAGATAGTCCATGCACACAAGATCCATGGGTCCCGTACTTTTCAGATGACCCATAGGGGCAGCTCTCACAGGCAGGGTCTTCCTCTGGATACACCTCCTGCATGTCTTTACATGTTGCTCGACATGTTCCCTCATGCAAGGCCAATAGAACCGATCTTGTACTAGGTCATAGGTCTTGTCCACCCCGAGATGCCCATGTTGATCGTGGAGAGCTCTCAGGACCATGCCACGGTATCGGTGCGGTAGTACCAATTGTTTTCTGTCAGGGTGATCATGATACTTCACGACCCTATAGAGTACTCCATCTTCGAGATGTAGTCGGCTCCATTCTCTTCGGTATAATTCTCTTTGATTCACAGGTAGAGAAGTCAGCAATTTAGGATTCTTAGTCTTTATTGCTCTGATAACTATAACAATATACCAGTCCTGCGCTTGAGCCTTCCTCTTGTCTTCTGTGGTTATACCGGACCACTGTTGAAGCATGACGGGAGCATGGAACACCTCAGGCACAGCTTCAGGAGAGTGGCTAATGGAGTCTATCCCTCTTAGCTCGGCAAATTCTTCTTGACTCTTGGCCACCACATACATCTGACAAAAGGCTCCTACCCCCGGCCCAGGGATCTCTTCCCACTCCTCTTCTTCTTGGTGAGGGGGGAGTCTAGGCCTGCGGGACAGGGCATCTGCGCTGACATTCTTGGGCCCAGGCTTGTACTTCAGGCTGAAACTGTAGTTTGACAAGGCAGCCAACCACCTATGTCCTGTGGCATCCAGCTTAGCTGTAGTCTGGATGTAGGTAAGTGGATTGTTGTCAGTCCTTACTTCGAATGTTGCCCCATACAAATAGTCATGCAGCTTATCCACGATGGCCCACTTGAGTGCCAGAAATTCCAATTTATGGACTGGATAGTTCTTCTCTGCACCTGTAAGACTCCTACTTATGTAAGCCACCGGCCTCAATCCTGCTGGATAACTTTGGTGCAGTACACCCCCTAGGCCTTCCATACTGGCATCCACATGGAGGATATATGGTTTCTCAGGGTGTGCATAGGCTAAGACAGGAGCTTCTGTAAGTCTCTTCTTCAGTGTCAGAAAGGCATCTTCACATCCTGAAGTCCATTTCTCTCCAAAGGGGTCTTTAGGATATGGTGCCTTAACACCCTTTACGTCAGAGATAATCTTCAGCAGGTCATGTAACTCTCGAGCAATCTTTGAGTAGTCTTTCACGAACCTTCGGTAGTAACCACAGAATCCGAGAAAGGACCGCAACTCACCGATGTTATTTGGTCTTGGCCAATTCAACACTGCTTCAATTTTAGCAGGATCTGTGGCTACTCCTTCAGTGGATACTATGTGCCCCACATAAGTGACAGAGTTCTGGGCAAATCGGCATTTGTCCATTGATAGCTTCAGGCCTTCAGCTTGAAGTCGATCCAACACCTTTAGCAATCTTTGTTCATGCTCCTCTGGTGTCTTCCCGAAAACAATTAGGTCATCTAGATACACTAGACACTCTTTGGGATTCATATCCCCCACAGTTTTCTCCATCAGCCTCTGAAAAGTAGCAGGAGCTCCTGTGACTCCCTGTGGCATTCTGGTAAACTGGAAGAACCCCAAAGGGCAGATGAAAGCTGTCTTTTCCTGATCTTCCTTCTTCATGGGTACCTGATAATATCCAGACCTCAAGTCAAGCACACTGAACCACTGGCTGCCAGATAGGGCGTTCAGAAGATCTTCTATCCGGGGCAAAGTGTACTGGTCTGGCACAGTCCTCTTGTTCAGAGTACGGTAGTCCACACATAGCCGAACTGAACCATTCTTTTTCCTCACTACCACAATAGGTGAGGCATAGGGGCTCCGGGACTCTGTGATGATGCCTGCTCCTTCCATCTGCTGGAGTATGTCCCGGACATCTTCCACATCTCGAGGGGGTATTCTTCTTGACCTTTCTCTGAAAGGAGTAGGATCAGCAAGTCTTATAGCATGGGTGGCACTCTTAGAACACCCCACGTCCATCTCTGCTCTGGAGAACACTCCCTCTCGGGTGGCCAGTTTTGAACGAAGGCTGTCTTTCCACTGCTGTGGTAGGGGAGAATCTTCTAGATCAAAATCTAAAGGTGCTTTCACATGATCCTTCTGTTCTGCACTCGCAGACATGATGGACGAAACTTGATCTAAAAGGTGTATTACACCAATCTTCTGATGACGATCAATCCGGATTTCCGTGGGGGTTAAATTCTGTACCATCACAGGAAAACTCCGACACCACCTTTTTCGCCAATCTTTTATCTCAGGTATGAGAGTCCACCCCTTCTTCTGATCCTCTTCAGGCAGAGACTCAATAAGGTATTGTCCAGTTCCCCCCAACATTTCATGGTGCATTGAGGCTATGGCTCGTAAGGTTTTGGTCTCACCAGGCTTCACAAATGCAGGTTCTGTTCCTGAATAGTGGCACAACCCTGGTTTTGTTGCAAGGGCTAGTCGTCGACACTCTTTTCCTAGGACAGGGCTGACCTCCATCAGTCGGTCTAAGGAGACATCTCCCACTTCTGTCAGATAGGCCCTGAATACATCCTGTACCATCTTTGCATTAGTACCCAATATTATTGGGGCACACACTTTCTTGGCTGCAGGGCATATCAAAGCTTCCAGCTCCATAGGACATATCATCCCGGTATTTAACTGGGGAATAGTTATGGTCACTTTTATGCATCCCTCCACAGGTTGAGCTTGAGACCCAACGCCCCATAGCTGAAACTCTCCTGCAGGTTCCATAGGAATGTGTTTCAAATGACGTTCATAGAAGTCTCTGTAGATAATGGTGACTTGAGAACCTGTATCTAGCAATGCTGAAGCATGAATTCCTTCCACTTGCACGTGTATCAAAGATTTAGGCCCAATCTTGGTCCCTACAGATAGACTATATGTAGGCCGGGTCTTCCTTCGCTTGTAAGACCTGGTCATTTGAGTCTCCCCGAGCTCGGTTGCCAGCACCCCCACATCCACCTCCATGGAATCCGCAGGGCACTCCCGCTGAAAATGCCCTGACTTTCCACATTTAAAGCAGTCCCCTCGGCGGGGTGAATCCTCAGGAAACAGCTTTTTCTGAGTCTTCCTGTGTTGCCCCCCACTTCCAGGGGGAAGATCTGCTCTCTCTGGTGGTGATTTGCATAAAAGCTCCAATTCAGCCACCTTCTTCCTAAGAGCTGACAGTTCTGTATCCTCTTTCTCCTTCTGTAGGGGTGGACACATCTGGTCTTCCAATCTCCTGGCTGTATTTATTAATGTGGAATAAGGCAGAACTTTATCATCCAACTTGGCTCTCAGCAGAATCATAACTGGATTATTGGTCAAACCACCTCTCTGAATTTGCTTAGATAGCCGAGCATCCAACTCAGAGGCAGTGACTGCTCCTTTATGGAATAACTTTCCAAGCGATAGCTGTAACCGGTTGATATAGTCAGTGGCTTTTTCGTGCTCCTTCTGCTTAGTGGCTAAGAACTTAACCAACAGATCATCCAAATCTTCTGATTTTCCATAAGCATCCTGTAAAACTTGTAGATAGTCGTGCCCAGTAGCTTGCCCATTTACTCCCTTGTACAGTCTTATCATGTCTGTAGCGGGAAAATGAAGACTCTCCACCAACCGCTGTTTCTTTATGGTATCCGTACAAGATCATTCCTCCAACAACTGCATAGCATTATCCTTCCAGACCTCAAAAGGCTCTTCTCCTGCAGGAACAGGCTGATTCCCAGAAAACACCTTTAGTTTGCAGTAACTATGGGTGTGGTTTGCCGTCACTATGGCTTCTGAGAGTTTCTGTAGTATGTCCGATACATCACTACCTCCTGTAGGCAGGGTGCGTACTTCAGGGTTGTCTGGTTTCAGTAATGCTGTAGATGGATGAGATTCTGCTTTAGGAGTAATCATCCCCTGTCCTCTAGGAGGATGGGCAGCTTGTTTAGGAATGGCTCTGGCCTTTCGGGAGATGGGGGTCAGGAGCTTAGAATAATTTTCTGTGACATAATCTTTCCGTTCTAATTTAAAGGGTTGTTGCAGTGAGACCCTTTCTTTCTTATCAAGGAGAGCGTAGACTAAGGAGCATCCTTCAGCCGGGGCTCCATATAAATGAATGTTGGTAGGCATCTCATGGTCTCCCAAGCCCGTATGACAATATATTAACATGTAAGTTTGGCCTTCAGAATCCTGCAGGATATCTCTGATGGTCGCCATTTCTATTCCCAGTCGAATTTCTATACACAAGATGACGTGATTCATCTCACAGCAGGATGGGACTTTGCATAACATCTCAGCTTGCTGTAATGGTACATTTCTTTGCTGGGCCCACTGTTTCACAAAGGAGGGAGTGGCCTGAGGACAACCTATTCTCACTGGTTGTACCCCAATACATCTCAGCAGTGCCTCCATCTGTAACGGGGTTTTGGGGGTGCCCCCTAGTGTCTTTGGGGTTCCCAAACCTAGTTAACTCACTATGCCTGACAGGCGGATCCTGAGCCTCCGCTATCTGGGAGCTGGGGTACATGTCTGCGGCAGTGCCTCCACCCAGTGGAGCATCCGGGGTAGGGATGTGGGGTCCCACTGGGAACATACTTGGTGCAATGAGACTGACACAGTCTAACTGGAACTAACTTTATATGGTAAGTAGCAATTGAACCAACATACATAGGAAAATACAATAGAGTAACACAGATAACAATGCAAATGTGGATTTTCCTCACTCACCCACCAGCACACCTGCGCCCCACCCCCTTATCTTCGCCCTAGCGGCCGTTGGTGCACATAGGAGAGTTGGGGCCCTTATAAGTCCTGCTCCGCAGGGTCACTGAAGCAGCCTCAGATGTGTAATGTCCGTCACGGGACCTCAGAGTCTTTACTGTGAGTGAGGAGACAGGTGCCCTGTGGTGATACAGGGAGAGGCTTGGCTTACCCTCACAACACGATTAACCAGGTCAGTCAGCAGCAGTCTCCTCTCACTGGATTCGCCAGACGTCTGGACTCAGTGCTTGTCTTCTTTTTCTTTCTGCAGGTGTGATCTTGGGTGAAACAAGTTCTCTCAGCCAGGTCCTATCTCTGTGCTACAGTCTCTCACATGTCCTTTCCCTGGCTCAGCATGTGGTCACTCTTAGAATCCTCCTCCCTCAGAGCTGTGCAGGAAGTCCTGACAGGCCCTGCGATGATGCCACACTCATCTCCTGATTTCAGCAAGTCATGTGATCAAAGCTCAATGTTTTATTAACAGCATACTGAGTCCATGTGCCATCTACTGGACATTTCAGATAATGCAGCCTGTGTAACTTCACGGGCTACAACCGTTAAGGCGATATTCCCCTTTTTCAGCTCCACCGACAGCTACTGCAAGCACCAATCTCCTGAACTGCAAACCCACGAATTCACCAACTCCCGAACTGCAACCAAGGGAATACTCGAAACTCCCGAACTGGAGACACACGAATAGCTGCTAGCAGACGAAGAGGAAAAGCCCCCAAGCGGCTTACCTACAGTTACATTCAGTACATAAAACATATATGTTCTATGTAACGGACCGTTTTGCACACAAGGGGTAAAAACCGTTTAGTAGATCTTCCCCTTCCAGATGCACAGGCACAGCTACTGCAGAACACCAATCCGCCGAACAGGAAACCATATGAATGCTGTAAACAGCCGAATAGGAAAAACCATACGAATAGGTTTACACTCCTAGCAGTCAAACTGGAACAGCCTACAGTAAATCCCCCCAAGAACGAGACAAAGCTCCGTGTTGAGGGTCAAGCAGTGAACAGACAGAGCTGTGGGTTTATTGTGCTTATGTACACATTCTTACACATTAGTACCACCCACAGGGTTTTGGAACACAACCAATAAACACATACAATACACTCAGACACTCCCACACAAATTCCTCCCCTCTGCCGGTGATTCAATTACCTTACACAATGGGTAATGTAATTTAGCACCAGCAGAGAAATACAATTTTTCCACATTATTCATAACTTGAAAAGTATGCATCACATAAACTTACATTTTCAGAATGAGCATACTCCAAATACAAACATACGTCAAAATCATACAAATTGGTCCAGTGGTTCAAAAGATAGATCGTAGTCCTTTGTGACCAAATGAAGCATGGATTTTCTGCCCAAAACCAGTTCCACAGAGTCTTCTATCCTGGAGATAATTGGGAAGTAATCCAATTATCTCCAAAGACAGAGGCAAAACTCCATTGAACACATGGCAGCAAAAAGACAGTAAAATACAATAAAATACAGAAGGTTACATTTATGACATAAAATACAGACATGCAACATATCCCCAGATAGCTTAGGTCGGAGCGCACATTATTACTGAATGGCGCTCAGAGCACACACATACAGTTCAATTGCCATGGAACCAAAGTCTTTCATTATACGAATGGGCTCCATGGCATAGCTATCTGGGGTTTCACTGCTCAGACAGGGCAAGCACCAAATGACCCGGCTTTCTTGTCTTTGCAGGGGAAAATCAAGCCTTTTAACATGGGGCCATAATCCAAAGGCAACAGGCGAGCAACCAGGCTTCTCCAATGCAATGTCGCGAGATAGCTCAGGTCTGAGCGTACATTATTAAGCGAATGGCGCTCAGACCACACAAATACAGTTTAATCGCCATGGAGCCAAAGTCTTTACACAGTCAGTTTCATGCGAATGGGCTCCATGGGATTCCTATCTGGGGCACAACACACTCAAACAAATCTACCGAACACCTGGCAGAAAAGCACAAATAAGTCTTTTCTGCAGGGAAAAAATATGTCTTTTAACACGGGGCCATAGTCTAAAGGCAGCAGGCGAGCAACCAGGCTTCTCCAGTGTACAGTGGCGAGGTTGGTTTCGCCACACTTCTCCCCTTTACCAGTCAGACTAACAGGGTATCTGACCTCATGCCGGTCAGTGCCCTTGTTAGTCCAGCAGCCCACCCACAAAACACAATCAGTAATACAGCACACCCACAAGAACTGGTTACTACACCTGGGTAGAGGAGAACGTTGTCCATGTCCAGGCGCCTCACCATGACTGTGTGGGTGACTGGTAAGCGGACTGGGTGGGTTGCTGAGTGGGCAGAGACCACCGGTACTCTGTCCTGATGCCAGCACTACCACGGGAGTAGTCTGATTGGAGCCTGGTTGCTGGAGGGGAAGACCGACTGTCTCCCCTTTGGCTAAACAGCCCTGTCGCTGGGGGGCAAAACCGACCGTCCCTACCCCCTGTGCTGTAAGTGCAGAGACCACGGTCCCATCTGCACAGTTGTGGGGCTTCTCATCTCCCCTTGGTGGGCTAGGCCGCCGCTGGGAAGTGTTCTCCCCTCCTGGTAGAATACTCTGCCGCTGGGGAGCCGGACCGGCTGTCCGTACTCCCTGTAGTTTGGGCGCAGAGACCACGGTCCCATCTGTGCCGGTGGGGAGCTTAATGTCTCTCCTTGGTGGGCTACGCTGCGGAGAGGGAGCAACAAGCTCTTCTCCCTGACACTCTCCCTGCTGGGGGAGAGGGGAACCTACTGTCTCCCCTTTCAGTATATTGTCCTGCTGCTGTGGAGGGAGGACGGCACCTTCGGCTCCCTGGGACTCACTTCAGCGCTGCTGAAGTTGGTTCTTTTGTACATAGGGTCGCTGTACGGGTACTGGCGTTGCCCTCAATTTGTAATCCAGGAACTGGTGTTGTATTATAGCTGTCCTTCTGGGCTGTGGAAATGATCCCGTCGCTTGCCACCAATTGTAACAGACCTTTTTGCCCAAAAGAGGTTAAAAACCGTTTAGGCGATATTACCCTTTTTGCTGAGGAGAGGGACCAACTGTCTCCTCTCCTAAGAACACACACGGCCGCTGGGGAGGACGGGCGACACCTTCAGCTCCCTGGGACACACACTGCCGCTGGGGAGGAAGGACGACACCTTCAGCTCCCTGGGACACACACTGCCGCTGGGGAGGAAGGACGACACCTTCAGCTCCCTGGGACACACACTGCCGCTTGGGGAGGAAGGACGACACACACTTCAGCTCCCTGGGACACACACTGCCGCTGGGGAGGAAGGACGACACCTTCAGCTCCCTGGGACACACACTGGCGCTGGGGAGGAAGGACGACACCTTCAGCTCCCTGGGACACACACTGGCGTTGGGGAGGAAGGACGACACCTTCAGCTCCCTGGGACACACTACCGCTGGGGAGGGAGGACGACACCTTCAGCTCCCAGGGACACACACTGCCGCTGGGGAGGAAGGACGACACCTTCAGCTCCCTGGGACACACACTGCCGCTGGGGAGGAAGGACGACACCTTCAGCTCCCTGGGTGACACACTGCCGCTGGGGAGGAAGGACGACACCTTCAGCTCCCTGGGACACACCCTACTGCTGGGGAGGAAGGACGGCACCTTCCGCTCCCTGGGACACACACTGCCACTGGGGAGGAAGGACGACACGCTTCTCTCTCTGTAACTTGCTCGGCCACTGGGGTCTCTCCCAACCTGCCAACTCACGTGTCGGCCCTGCTCCAACCTGCAGGTACTCTTCTACCTGTCTCCTCACGAACTGCACTTATTTCTCCGGGGGGTTGGGTCCAAAGAAAGCCAGCCGCGTGGTAAACTCTGTCATACTGCTCCTGAGTGTAGCTGGGTGCCATGCTTGCGCTGCTGAAGTTGGTTCTTTTGTACTTAGGATCGCTGTACGGGTTGCCCTCAATTTGTAATCCAGGAACTGGTGTTGTATTATAGCTGTGCTTCTGAGCTGTGGAAATGATCCCGTCGCTTGCCACCAATTGCAACTGACCGTTTTGCCCAAAAGAGGTTAAAAAACGTTTAGGCGATATTCCCCTTTTTCAGCTGCACCGACAGCTACTGCAAGCACCAATCTCCTTAACTGCAAACCCACGAATTCACCAACTCCCGAACTGCATACCAAGGGAATACTCGAAACTCCCGAACTGGAGACACACGGATAGCTGCTAGCAGACGAACAGGAAAAGCCCCCAAGCGGCTTACACTCCTGGCAATCAGTCTCTAACAGCATACAGTAAATCCTCCCCCAATAATGCGACAACACTTCACTTTGAGGGTTAAGCAGGAACTGATTTACTGGGGCTAACTGCCCGGCTTTTATGCAGGTTTCCCACCTGGTGGACACTCCCCTAGTGGACCAAATGGGAGACTGGGACACAAAGGGTAAAAGGACCAATCACAGACTTACACATTTCAACCATCCCACAATGCATCACAATCCCTCCTCTCTGCTCTGGAGATAATTGGGAAGTAATTCAATTATCTCCAAAGACAGAGGCAAAACTCCATTAAATACATGGCAGAAAACAAACAGTAAAAGACATAAAATTACCTACAGTTACATTCAGTACATAAAACATATATGTTCTACATATCCCCAGATAGCTCAGGTCTGAGCGCACATTATTAAGCGAATGGCGCTCAGACCACACAAATACAGTTTAATCGCCATGGAGCCAAAGTCTTAACACAGTCAGTTTCATGCGAATGGGCTCCATGGGATTCCTATCTGGGGCACAACACACTCAAACAAATCTACCGAACACCCGGCAGAAAAGCACGAATAAGACTTTTCTGCAGGGAAAAAATATGTTTTTTAACATGGGGCCATAGTCCAAAGGCAGCAGGCGAGCAACCAGGCTTCTCCAGTGTACAGTGGCGAGGTTGGTTTTCGCCACACTGTGTTACACACTGTGTCTCTCTCTCAGCCAGTCTCTGTGTTATACACTGTGTCTCTCTCTCAGCCAGTCTCTGTGTTACACACTGTGTCTCTCTCTCAGCCAGTCTCTGTGTTACACACTGTGTCTCTCTCTCAGAGAGTCTCTGTGTTACACACTGTGTCTCTCTCTCAGCCAGTCTCTGTGTTACACACTGTGTGTCTCTCTCAGCCAGTCTCTGTGTTACACACTGTGTCTCTCTCTCAGCCAGTCTCTGTGTTACACACTGTGTGTCTCTCTCTCAGCCAGTCTCTGTGTTACACACTGTGTGTCTCTCAGCCAGTCTCTGTGTTACACACTGTGTCTCTCTCTCAGCCAGTCTCTGTGTTACACACTGTGTGTCTCTCTCTCAGCCAGTCTCTGTGTTACACACTGTGTCTCTCTCTCTCAGCCAGTCTCTGTGTGTCTCTCTCTCAGCCAGTCTCTGTGTTACACACTGTGTGTCTCTCTCAGCCAGTCTCTGTGTTACACACTGTGTGTCTCTCTCAGCCAGTCTCTGTGTTACACACTGTGTGTCTCTCTCTCAGCCAGTCTCTGTGTTACACACTGTGTGTCTCTCTCAGCCAGTCTCTGTGTTACACACTGTGTGTCTCTCTCTCAGCCAGTCTCTGTGTTACACACTGTGTGTCTCTCTCTCAGCCAGTCTCTGTGTTACACACTGTGTGTCTCTCTCAGCCAGTCTCTGTGTTACACACTGTGTGTCTCTCTCAGCCAGTCTCTAATTGTTAACATTGTTGCAATCGGTTAACAAGCGCCACACGCCTCTAAGTGTGTGGGCTACTACATGGGGTATTTTCGGTTCACGAACGGCCCGCAAAAGTGCTGTTCGTGAAATGAAAGAAAAATCCAATACAAACAGCTATCTGCATTCGGCAGATAGCCAATACAACAAATACATGTAAATTACAACCCGCATACATTCAACATAGTTAAGCCCATATCTCCCAACCATATAGGCAACCCTTAAAGGCACAGTCTCTTTATAGTGTCCAAGTGGCTAGGTTTGCCACAATGCTCGCCCAGAACCAAGCCGGCATACACAGTCTGATCCCAACGGATCGACTAGGGGATGTCCAGAGGAGGGCTCACAGATCACTTCTCAAGGTCTGTTTGTCTAGATAACCCGTCAGCGTTACCGTTTTGTTTTCCTGGGCGATAATGGATAGTAAAGTCAAAAGGCTGCAGCGCCAAACTCCAGCGCAGCAGCCTGGCATTGTCTCCAGCCACACGGTTCAGCCACACCAACGGGTTGTGATCTGTGAGCAAAGAAAAGGGTTGCCCATAGAGATACGGCTGTAACTTTTTGAGGGCCCACACCACGGCTAGGCATTCTTTTTCGATGGCGGCGTAGCTCACTTCTCGGGGTAACAGTTTCCGGCTCAAATATGCTACGGGATGTTCTCCGCCATCTGCTCCAACCTGGCTCAGTACTGCTCCCAATCCAAACATGGAGGCGTCTGTGTGGACAAGAAAACGTTTAGTTGGATCAGGAGCAGCAAGTACAGGAGCATTTGTCAGAGCCGTCTTCAGTTGGCTAAATGCCTGTTCACACTCTGGGGCCCAGATGACCTGTCTGGGTAGGTTTTTCCTCGTCAAGTCAGTCAGGGGCTTGGCCAGGGCACTGTAATTGGGCACAAACTTCCTATAATACCCGGCGGTACCTAAGAAAGCAAGGACTTGGGTTTTAGTCCTAGGGGTGGTCCACTTGGCTACGGCTTCAATCTTTGCGGGCTCAGGCTTCTGTTGCCCGCTCCCCACTCGGTGTCCTAAGTATTGCACCTCCGCCATCCCTATGTGGCACTTGCTTGGTTTTAAGGTGAGCCCTGCCTCTCCAATCCGATCTATCATGGCCCCTATGTGTCGTAGATGATCAGCCCAGGTCTGGCTGTAGATGGCAATATCATCCAGGTATGCACACGCATAATCCTGGAACCCGTCCAGTAGCCGATCCACCATCCGCTGCAATGTCGCGGGGGCGTTCTTCATCCCGAATGGCATGACTCGGAATTGGTACAAGCCAAACGGGGTGACAAACGCCGACTTGGGGATGGCGTCCTCGGCTAGTGGAATTTGCCAGTATCCCTTACAAAGATCTATTGTAGTGAGATACTGACCTCTGGCCATCTTATCTAGCAGTTCGTCTATCCAGGGCATTGGGTAGGCGTCCGACACGGTTTTGTCGTTTAGCCTCCGGTAGTCCACACAAAACCGGGTTGTACCAGCTTTCTTGGGAACCAGGACTACCGGCGATGCCCAGGGGCTATCAGAGTGTTCGATAACCCCTAACTGCAACATCTCCTCAATTTCTTTTCTCATGTGCTCCCGTACGGATTCGGGAATCCGATATGGGGTCTGTCGCATGGGATGCGTTCCCGGGGTTTCTACTCGGTGAGTGGCTAGTGGAGTGTACCCAGGTAAGTTAGAAAAGGTGGCGCCCTTCGCCGCTATCAGTTCCTGTACTTGGGTGCGCTCTTGAGGACTTAGCCGCTCCCCCAGCTGAACCCCCTGGGAGGGCTCCTTCTGCTCCTCCTGCTCCTCTTGCTCTAACAGATCTGGGAGAGGTAGGTTCTCCTGATCCTCCGAGGCGGGCGTGCAAATGGCTGCCACGTCCTTGGTTCTCTCGTGGTAGGGTTTGAGCATGTTCACACGGAGCATGCGTCGCTTCCCTACCCCGGAGCATGGGCCGATCACATAGGTGGTATCGCATCTCTGCTCTACCACCTGGTATGGGCCCTGCCAGACGGCCTGTAGTTTGTCTGTGCGGACAGGTTTGAGAATTAGCACCTTCTGCCCCACTTGAAAACTACGGTCTCTGGCCCCCCTGTCATACCAACGGCGCTGACGTTGTTGGGCGGCCTGGAGGTTAGTGCGCACTGCCTGAGTCAATTCCTCCAGGCGATCCCGGAACGCCAGCACATATGGTACAATAGGGGTCCCATCTGCGCTACTCTCCCCCTCCCAATGCTCTCTAATGAGGTCCAACTGTCCCCGTACCCTTCTCCCAAACAGCTCAAAGGGGGAGAAGCCGGTAGATTCTTGGGGTACTTCCCTATATGCAAACAACAGATGGGGAAGGAACCGCTCCCAGTCCTTATGGGTCTCTCCGAATGTACAGAGCATCTGTTTTAGGGTACCGTTGAACCTCTCACATAATCCGTTGGATTGGGGATGATAGGCAGAGTTAACAATCGGCTTAATGCCACAGATTTTCCATAGCTGCTGGGTGACCTCTGCTGTAAATTGTGTCCCCCTATCGGAGATAATTTCCTACGGGAACCCTACTCTGGAAAAGATTTTCATCAGGGCTTCTGCCACTGTCTCCGCATGGATATTGGTTAAGGCAATCGCCTCGGGGTACCGGATGGCGTAGTCCACCACGGTCAGTATATACCGCTTCCCAGAGGGGCTGGGTTTGGGTAGCGGTCCCACTATATCTACGGCCACACGGCTAAAAGGTTCCTCAATTATAGGTAGGGGACACAGTTTCGCTTTGTGGCGATCCCCTCTCTTACCTACCTGCTGACACACATCACAGGAGGTACAATAGTGCCTTACATCTTTAGAAATCCCTGTCCAAAAGAAAGCGTGGGTTAAGCGATACCGGGTACGGGTCATCCCTAAATGGCCAGACAGAGCGATGTCATGAGCTATTCTCAGTAACTCAGGTCTATATTTCTGGGGCACTACCAGCTGTTTGGTTTGGACTGTCACAGAGCTCCCTATCGCCCTTTCAGCTATCCGGTACAACAATTTGTTTTCCCAAATGTACTGCTCCCCCTCCCGTTCTACCTGGTCAGTGTCTACCCTATCCCTGTACACCTGCAGTGTGGGGTCTGTCTGGACCTCGGCTTCAAAGGTGGTCGGGGTGTCCCAGGTCATATGAGTCGAGGGGGGGTCATGGTCTCTTACCTGAGCCTCAGAGTGTGCTGGTGGAGCCGTGGTGCGAGCCTGTTGCCGGGTAGTGACGGGATGAGCTTCTTGCGAAGGGTCCTGAGGTACGAAGGCCAAAGTCATCTGGCCCAAGTCATTCCCCAGTACGACATCTGCCGGTAACTTTTTCATCATAGCCACTTCCACAACCCCCTCCCCAGCACCCCAGTTCAAATGCACCTTTGCTGTGGGTAGCCGGTACATGGCTCCCCCTGCCACCTTGACTGCCATAGATCCGCCAGTGTGGGCTGTATCTGGGACCAAATGTGGAGCAACCAGGGTTAAAGTGGCTCCTGAGTCCCTCAGCCCCTGTACTTCTTTCCCCCCCACAAACACAACTTGACGGTGATGCTGCCTGTTGTCCGTGGCTTGCATAGACATCACCTCATACAAAACACCCAGAGGTTCCTCGGTCTGCAAGCTCATCAGCTCTGGAGTGTCCGGTTCCACCTGATAATGGTGTGCTGCTGCCCTTGGGGTGGAATTCTGCTGCACTTGGTTCCACGCCTGTCTACTCCGATTCTGAGTGCACTCCCGGGACATATGCCCCCACTGACGGCAGGTATGGCATTGGATGTTTGCCCTGGCATTGTAGCGGGATGGTGGTGGGGGGTTCCCTTGTGCTGGCCGGAACGGAGTGGAGTTGGCTGGTGCGGAGGTGGTCGGGTGGTGCTGTACCGGTGGTCTCAGGTAACTCTTACTAATTGGCCCATGATGCCTCCTGGCATCAAAATGTTGGTCAGCCAATCTAGCGGCTTCCGACAGGGTGATAGGTTTGCGGTCCCTCACCCATTCTTGCGCTTCTGGGGAGAGTCCATTAAAAAATTGTTCTAATAGCATAAGTTGGCGCAGTTCCTCCATGGTGGTGGCTTGGCTTGCCTGAATCCACCCCTGCGAGGCTTGGTCTAACTTGTGCGCCCATTCTGCGTGGGAATCCTTCTTGGGTTTGCGTAATCCACGAAATTTGCGTCGATACGCTTCGGGCGTGATGGCATGCCTCTCCGGTATAGCCCTTTTTACTTTAAAATAGTCTTTACTGTCCTCCCTGGGGACAGCGCGATATGCCTCTGCTGCTCGCCCTGCCAATTTTCCCGCTAGCAGGGGCACCCATACTGCCTGCTCTAGGTCGTGCAGGTCACATAGCCGCTCAAAGTCCTGTAAATATCCATCAATTTCGTCCTTCTCCTCACTGAACGCTTTGAATGCATGATACGGTATTTTCGGTTTTACCTGACCGCAGATGGAGGCAGTAATGGATTCTGCCCTGGATGGTGCTCCCTGGTGCTGTTGTGCCATCACATACTCCTGCACGTCAGCCATCAGGACCGTCAGGATATCCAGGGGTACTGGCTGGGGTAAAAATTCCAGCCGGGTTCTCAGCTCCCTTTGGTATGGGGTTTCTTCCCTGGCTGGTGGGGGTGTGCTGCTGTGTGCTCGGTCGCCCTCCATCAGTTCAGCGATCAGTACTGCTTTAGATTTATTGCTGGCGCTCTTTCCTCTCGCTTCCAGCAGTTTCTTAAGCGTCTTCCTTTTCAACGTAGTGTAATCAGTCTCCATTCACTGAACTCTTTCGTCTGTTTGCTGCATACGAATTGCCATTCCCTTTTTCCATTCGGTTGTTTCTTTAATTCGAATGTGCTGTATTCGGCTGTAGAGTCGGATCCCGTCGCTTGACACCAATTGTAGCGGAACGCCAATATTAAATCCACGAATTCCGCTGGTTCAGGAAGTAATCCACAGTCAAGCGCTGGAAAAAGCAAGGCAATATCCCAAACCTCCCAGTAACCGGACGAAACACAGTTCTGAGAGTCAACTGAGGTCTTTATTTTCAGCTCCACAATTTATACAAGTCCCCATGCAAGGGCATTCCCAGAGGGGACTACATGGGGGACTTATAATACAGGGCATTTCTCCCATCAGGCACTGCTGCACTGCTCGGTAGATAGCTGGGGTCTGAGCGCATCATTCGTGAGATTACCGCTCAGATCCCAGCTAAAACAACCGAACCCCGCACGAAAAACACATTTATTAAAATACATGTTTAAATGACCGATTGCCTTCCAGGGAACAAAGTACCGAACTGCCCGGAACTCCCGAACGGCCTGGAGGCTCAGCGGTGTTCGTGCCGTCGAGTAGCCGTTTTTAGTACCATGCGCTCGACGACCTAACACCGCTGAGGGAACAAAGGATCCAAGATGGCCGACCACCGCATGGTCGGTAGTCGAACGGCGGCCACCTAGGAGAGCCTCTAATTACCGATTGCAACATTGTTGCAATCGGTTAACAAGCACCACACGCCTCTAAGTGTGTGGGCTACTACATGGGGTGTTTTCGGTTCACGAACGGCCCGCAAAAGTGCCGTTCGTGAAATGAAAGAAAAATCCAATACAAACAGCTATCTGCATTCGGCAGATAGCCAATACAACAAATACATGTAAATTACAACCCGCATACATTCAACATAGTTAAGCCCATATCCCATAACCATATAGGCAACCCTTAAAGGCACAGTCTCGTTATAGTGTCCAAGTGGCTATGTTTGCCACACCGAATTCACAATAGGCTTAATGCCACATATTTTCCAGAGTTGTTGGGTTACTTCGGCTGTGAATATATAAAAATATATAACTACATAAAAACTGAACATTTCCCATTCGTATAACATGTCCCCAGATAGCCTGGATCTGAGTGCATATTATTAGCGAATAGCGCTCAGATCCCACACATATAGTTCAATCGCCATGGAGTCAAAGTTCTTACAGTCTTTCGGTATACGAATGACTCCATGGGAAGGCTATCTGGGTTAAGTCTTTTCGTATGCTCTCAATCTCTCGAACGGCCGGTATTCGTATGCTTTCGAGGAGGCAGCCAGGCGTTCCGTTGTTTCAGCGGTGTTCGGCAGAAAAGGTGTCCGTTTTTAGTTACATGAAAATAGAGCCGAACACCGCTGGGCTTTCGCGTGTTTTAAAATGGCCGCTGCCTCGTGGTCGACATACGAACGACGACCACCCTGAATTCGTGTAATTGAGAAGTGTCTGCGGTTAACCACAACGTTCTAATTGGGATCAATAGGTTAACCAGCAGCACACTTCTCTCCTGGGTGGCCGTCCGTTCGGCTGGTTTGTTCGGGAAAAAGAGTCATTCGAATGGCTGGGCTATAGAAAACAGCCATTCATACGAACAGGATAGAAACAGACGAATACACCTAAAATAAACAGACAGATGGTTCTGTCACACGGCTCCCTCCTTGTGGGACACTCCGGCAGACCCGGCTTGACCCTGTGGCGGGTCAACTTGGGGATGACCGGACTAAGAGGTGGTGGAGACGTCTGTTTGCCGAGATAACCCATCTGCATTCCCGTTCAGCTTACCGGGTCTGTAGCTGATAGTAAAATTGTAGGGCTGTAATGCCAAGCTCCATCTTAGTAGTCTCCCATTGTCTCCTGAGACCCAGTTAAGCCAAACGAGGGGGTTATGGTCAGTGTAACGGACCGTTTTGCACAAAAGGGGTAAAAACCGTTTAGGCGATCGGCCCCTTTTCCAGAGATGCAGGCACAGCTACTGCAGAACACCAAACACACGAACCGCCAATAAGTGAATGCTCCAAACACCCGAACTGCATACAAGGGAATGCTCCAAACACCCGAACTGCATACAAGTGAATGCTCCAAACACTCGAACTGCATACAAGGGAATGCTCCAAACATTCGAACTGCATACAAGGGAATGCTCCAAACACTCGAACTGCATACAAGGGAATGCTCCAAACACCCGAACTGGAACCTCACGAATAGCTGCTAGCAGACGAACAGGAAAAGCACCCAAGCGGCTTACACTTCTGGCAATCAGTCTCTATCAGCATACAGTAAATCCCCCCAAAGACGAGACAAAGCTCCGTGTTGGGGGTCAAGCAGTGGTCTGTTTAATGAGGGCTACCTGCCCAGAATTTATGCAGGTCTCCCACCTGGTGGACACTCCCCTAGGGGACCAAATGGGAGACTGTGACAAAAGACAGACAAGTAGACAAATAGGACACACAGTCACAATATTTTCCCACAATGCATCCTGGCTTCCTCCCCTCTGCCCTGGGAGATAATTGGGAAGTAATTCAATTATCTCCCAAGACAAAGGCAAAACTCCATTACACACGTGGGGACACAAAACCAGTATTATACTTTAAAATACATAAAGTAACATTTATTACATAAAACACAGACATGTAACATATCCCCAGATAGCTCAGGTCTGAGTGCACATTATTAGGTGAATGACACTCAGACAACACGAATACAGTTTGATTGCCATGGAGCCAAAGTCTTTAATTACACAAATAGGCTCCATGGCATAGCTATCTGGGTTAAAACATTCCCCCAACACAAAATACCGAATTTACATTCTTTTGTTAAATTGGTACGAATTAGAACTAGGGGCTGGACTCTCAGCGGTGCTTAGCTGACACAGTGTCCAGATTTGGCGTAGGAAAGCCGGGCAGAAAAGCGCTGGCTGCCCGGGGAGGTCCAGAACATCGCCATCGTGTGGCGGCTAGGTGTAACCGTGACCACCCAGTAACAGTCAATTAAGCTGCGGTTAACCGCAGCTACTGGGTGGTCAATTGCCAGCACACGCTCGTTAAGCCGCGGTTAACTGCGGCTTCAGGGAGGTAAATGGAGGGCACACGCCAGCTTCTGGGTGGCCAATTAACGGCGCCGGCCGACTTCCCTCGGCTCTGGGGAGGCTGATAGAAGTCTGTTTGTTCGGTAGATAGAATCTACCGAACGGCTGTGCAGAAAGGACGGCTGTGCAGAAAGGAAGGAATAAATCTTTCTGCACAGTAAAATTAACAGTTTAACTGCCGGTCCATAATCCAAAGGCAGCAGGCGGGCAACCAGGGAAAACTCTTGCCCATACAAGTAGGGACTTAACTTTTTCAATGCCCAGACCAAGGCCAAACACTCCTTCTCCACTGCCGCATAACTCACTTCTCTGGGTAACAACTTTCTGCTGAGATATGCGACAGGGTGCTCTCCTCCATCTTCCTCGACTTGGCTCAGCACAGCCCCCAGTCCATACATGGAAGCATCTGTATGGACGAGAAAACGTTTGTTAGGGACTGGGGCAGCCAAGACGGGCATTCACAAGGGCCTGTTTCAGTGCCTGGAACGCGGCTTCACAAACCGGAGACCACAGGACCTGCTTAGGCAAGTTCTTCTTTGTCAGGTCTGTCAGGGGCTTAGCTGTAGTCAGGGACAAAACGTCTGTAGTACCCTGCCGTCCCCAAAAAGGCCAGTACCTGGGTCTTAGTGGTAGGTGTTGGCCAGTTAGCCACCGCCTCTACCTTGGCTGGCTCTGGCCTCTGGTTCCCACATCCCATTCTGTGACCCAGGTACTGTACTTCCGCCATACCTAGATGGCACTTCTCTGGCTTCAGTGTCAGGCCAGCGGCCCGAATTTTATCCAGTACCACCCCTACATGAACCAGGTGTTCCTCCCAGGACCCACTGTAGATCGCAATGTCGTCCAAGTATGCACAGGCAAATTCTTGGAAGCCATCCAGGAGTCTATCCACCATCCGTTGGAAGGTAGCCGGTGCATTTTCCATCCCAAAAGGCATGACCTTAAATTGGTACA